GGTCGCAGTCGGTCCGCGATGGTGGTCAAAATGGATCGTAGTCAACTGGGGACAAAGATCAAAGGACAAGATCGGTGGTGATGGAGGTCGGAGGGAGCACAATCGACAACGACAGAGGTCAGAGGGCGCTTGTTGTGAAGAGATGATCAAAGGATGTAGGACGAGAATAGAACGATGTGATCAGAATAGCTATGGTCATGGGCGACAGAGTCGAAGGGACCATAATTCATCCGTCATAAATAGAAATCTGATATCTAATGGAGCTTCATCCATTCACAATGGACTCCTATTGAAATGAATCTTATACTTTGACGTTCTATTCAGAATGGAGCATCTCGTGCATGAAGTTGCATCCACTTTCATTCGCGAATGAAGATTGGCATAAGTTAGGGGTGTAAATGAGTCGAGTTGAGCTCGAGTCAAAGGGTGTTCGAGCTTGACTGTGTAAGTCAAATCAGAGCTCAAACTCGAGTCGTGCTCGACTCGCGAAATCTGAATGAGCTCATCAAGCTGCTCATCGAGACACTCGATTTCGGTTTCACACCCGCCAGCTATTTTCCTGCCTGATTTCTCGGCTAGCGGCAAAGTGCAAAGCGATTCATTTGTTCCTACGACGAATAAAAATGAGTCCCGAGTGTTTTGTAGCTGAAGCTTTAATGTCTTTTTTTTTTTTAAAAAAAAACCAACTAATTATGTAGATGTAGCTTTATATATATATAGTAAAGAGAAAGAGCATGTAGGCGTGGAGCACAATACGCATTGAATCGGAGTTGATGTTTTGGGACGCGCACGATTATATTTATCTGGTCTGTATGGGAAACATGCGCCTGACATTCCAAAAAAAATCATAGTTAAGTAATTAAACTACCAATTCTCCACTACATGGTCATCACAAACGATGATGGGCTATGGAATGGCCAGGGAGAAGAGATAAGAAACCTAGAGAAGAGAGTGATTTGGCAGGATTTGGGATTCCATTTCCGAAACATTTTTTACTATATCGGCTAGAAGGACTGTGCCATCTGGCCTCCCGACCGGACTGCCAATAGATTCGACTCGTTATTTAGCTCCTACTCACCGATCTTCGACGGAGCTGAAATCGGCAAGGCATTGATATATCGGAACAAATGCTGAACCGTTTAATTTGCGAATACTGTAGCATCATTTCTCATTTTATGGCAATTTTTTTTTAATATATTATATATATTTTCTTTTTGGATATGTTGTCAAAATTGACACCACACAAAATCCAACTCGGATCAGACCCGGAAAAATTTGAATTTGGGTCAACCCATTTTTGAAACAGGCCAGGTTCATTTTGGATTTTTGACCCATTTGACTCGTTTGTATTTTGTAATCTCGCATTACTTTCCCTGCATCTATCGCATTTGCCCGTCAGTCCATCATTGTTGATCTTGTTTTTCTCCAGATCCTAAGGTAAAAGGGTTGACCTGGTCAAATTGACCAGGCTAATCCCCAAAACCCCTCTCATTTAATTCAATGGGTCAAACCAGGTTTGCTGAGCCTAGACCCAAGCCCTGGGTCAACCTGGTTAACCAGGTCAACCTAGGTTGACCCAAATTGACCCAAACTCTTCCCTATTCAATTTCAAATTCAATTCATGACTTCTTAAGCTCAAATCTCACCTCCCCTAGACCCAATGGGTCAGACCCAACCCATTGGGCCTAGTCCGTGGCCTTGGGTTAATCTGGTTGACCCACTTAGCCTATTTGAGCCCAAATTGATTTTAATTCAATCCCCTTTTTGGGAAGAAAAATATCGGATCCTTAATTGAGAGTATTCTCGGACTCCGACCTAATCCCATGAGAAACAAAATTCCATAATAAATAAACCCCACTCGAGCTGATGTATCGGGTGGGGGAAAACCCCTGACACTGATCAAGTCGTATTATCACCCATCGTGGTGTGCTGTCAAGAGCTGCTATCCTCAATGGTTGATCGTATGTATGATCTAATCTGCCCTCCCATCGGCCCTCTTGTGAATAGTGCGGATGCCTCCGATTGTCTCTATCCCTTGGGGTGGTGCGGTTGTATACCCTCTACACTCGGTAGCTGAGCGGTGTCCTTTCGGAGGTCCACAAACATTTTTGTAACTGTCTGTCGTGTCACTCAATCACTACATCAAGCTCGAACCAGTCCGCCACTCCGCTAGTCTAGGCCAGTCGCGTCCGCTCCTCTGCGAGATCATGACAACTCACGAGACCGTTGCTCCATCCATTTGTTTCGCGGCAAGACTGTCGGTCCGAAACTTTTGTCTTCCGATCACGATACCATCGCTGCCGCTGGATAGGCCTCATAGCTCATCTGGCCACTCTAATGCGACCCACCCACAATAGGAAATTCTTGAATTATCGGCGGTTATGTGACCGTCGGTACTAACGGCGGTTTTTTAAATGACCGCCGTCGGAATTAATTAGCGGTGATTAAATAACCGCTGGTTATTCTACCGGAATTAGTTATTACCAGTGGTTTAAACCGCAGGTGTTAAGTAATTTCGTTTCGACGGTCCGAACCACCAGAACCTCGCCGGAAAAAACCCTAAAATAAGTCATCCCCAACCTTCCATTTCATTTGCTCCATCGTCCTCTCTCTCCCTTCCGACAATCGCCTCGTCTCCTCCGCCCTCTCGTGCGATCGAGACGCTCCTCCGGCTGCAGACAAGCTCCCTCTGGCCGCCGACAAGCTCCCTCCGGCCGAAGATCTCGACCCCGCTCCGGCATCAAAGCAAGGCCGAAGATCTCGCCAACTACTCTGTGAATCCATCGTACGAGTCACGTAGGTTTGCATTTTTTTTTTTTTCAACCATAGGAATTGTTATATAGTGTGCTCGTATAGTACACTTATATGGCGCAAAAGCAATTGTTCTATATGATCAAGAAACATGTAGGAGACTTTTCTTTTTGGTGACTTAGCTCATCTCACACACTTGAATGAGAAAGTCGTGCCAATTGTTACTTGAAATAGTTTACAGGATATACGACACATTTATGAAAATATGAATCCCCTTAATTTAGGTAACTAATATGTATGTTATTGGGGGGACTTGCGCACTCATGACTTGATATATGATTAATGCTTTTAATTTATTATGAAGTGTTTAATTGAGATGATAATTATATATATATTGAAGATATCCCACGTGGTGATTATTAATGTAATTGAATTTTCATAGGAAGATAAATAATTTTTACTTTTACCACCTTAAGATAATTTTCATAGGCTAAAAAAGCTCATGTGACTATAATTTTTGGAGTTTGTGAATAGAAATTTATTATAATAAAACTCATTCTAATATCAATATATTTTATAGATTTATTCTCGCAGGATGATTTTGTACGAGCTCGAGAAAGTCGTCAGTCCACTGATGAGGGATCATCTTCATGATCGACCTAGATTTCTAAGTATCATACTGGTCAGATGTTGTTGAAGGAAGGCAGAGGGGGAGGGTATATGGCTTGGGTTCACAAGGCTATGCTAATGAGGGCAGTTCATCCACCTCAGCATTTTATGATCCTAGTGGAGCTGAAGAAAGTGTAAGCCAGAGGGTAACATCACTGACGAGAAAGATAGAAGAGATGAGAAAGGTTCAAAATGAGATACAGGCAGAGATGCGATCCTACAGAAATGAAAATCAAAAGTAGAAAGAGCAAGAACAAGTGCAGCCACATGCATCACCAGACAGCGAGGATATGGAGGAGGATTAGTACTCTTTTTTGTTTGATGAACTTATGATGAACTTTTTATAAACTTATTTCGTTTGATGAACTTATGTGTAAACTTATGATCAACTTATTTGGTTTTACTTATTGTTTGGTTATGAACTTATTATGAGTTGATTTGTTTTAATGAATATATTTGTGATAATTATTGACTTATTGTGATTGATTATAGTGGCGTGTTGCTCATATTTGTGAAAATTATTGTATTTTCTGTGCAAGTTTAGAGTTTATAGTTAAAATCAGTAAAATAGAGGGGAGGTTGTCAATTTTTTTTTTCAAATGCTACATATTTCCGACGGCCAACAAGCGATTTGGCCGCCGGAAACTTCGATACTGGACGGCTAACCATAGCCGCCGAAAGTTTACTAAAACCACCGGCTAATACCGGCGGTTTGCAGACAGTGTCCCGCGATATGACGTCGGTCTCATCGCCGAGAATTCCTTCGTTTATGATCGCCGATAAATCACAAGCAGTTTACCGGCAGTCTACGCTGTTAGAACGATGATAACCATACCGGCAGTTGAACAGCCGGTACGCCGTCGATAAAAAAATCGGCTGTCACCGGCGCTCTGACTGCCGAAAACTAACCGATGGTATGAAACGCTGGTGAAAAAATCGCTGGAAAAGGTTTCCTACGTGGTTTTTACCGGCGGCTTTCGAACCGTCGAAAGCCGTCGGTGTTTTACAAAACCGCCGAAAATCTAATGCTAACCGCTGGAACAAACAGCCGGTAATGAGTGATTTTCTTATAGTGAGCATGAAGCAGGTCGACGTCGACCCCGCTCCCAAAGGTCGCACTCATTGTCGTCGCGCTGCCTAGCCTGTCGTCGCCCATTTTTTGAATCAAAAGGGACAATGGTTTGGGTCGGGTCAACCCGGCAACCCGTACTATTGACAGGTCTAACCTCCACTTCTAACACTAAAAAATAAATTTCGTGTATATTATTTTTTTTCTCATATCAATTTTTATATTTATTTTCTAACATAAAAATGGATTTATGAATAGCGCAACTTCAATATTGATGTCGTACTGGTCATAGCCAAGATAAAATATAAAAATGCATTTTCATTTACCGCTCGGGTACGTATACGCTCGCATGAGCTGCAAACAGACGAATGACGTTCAGTTGGAGATGAACCCGAAGAGGTAACACCCATTTCCATTGAACCAAAAATATCATAAAATACTTTGATTACCATGGAATTCATGCAACCATAAATATAACAAGATTAACTTTCAAACCACAAAAAGTCCATCATTCACAATCTTCTCATGAGTTTTATATATGTTTTCATCCCTAATATGCACTTATTAACTTCAACACAATGTCTTAACCTTCACTAAGTAGTTTGTTCATACATGTCAAAGTAATAATGTTTTTGTTTGTTTACTTCCACATAACACAACAATGAAAACATGTCATTAAAAAAAACTAATCTGACATCTTTAGATCATAATTCTCATCATAAATGAAGGGGATTGGCCTATCCTGAAGGCTGACATTGAACTTGAACAGATACCTTTAGACCGAGAAAACAGTAATTGCCAAAACTGCAGATAAAGTAATGCATTCCTTCTTCAATAATAGAAACAGTTGCTGGCCCTATCTCAATGGTTCTGAAAGCATTCTCAGCATTGCAGTTCTCAAACTCTCTCCTTGAAACCTGCTTCACATCATACAAACCTGTGTCGAACCTGAAAACTATTCTCACAACATAATTATATTCAGAAGAATGTATATTCATCTCAATTGAATATATGACTACAATTTTTTTATTTGTTTTTCTGTCATATTTGATGTTATGTGGCATAAGTCATCACTCAATATAAATAAACTATTAGATAATGTAGTGAAATTTAGAAGACAAATACAATTAAATTAGAAGATAATAGAATTAAACTATTAGAAAATTTAAAGTATGATCACAACAACAAAAAAGTATGAGATGAAAATTTTAGAAGAAACTTTCTCAATGTCTACATGAGTATATGAAATTTTTGGGAGAAATTTTATTAATATATGTTGGATAAAGGCAAATTCAATGAAGGGGCTATTAGTTTTTTGAAAATGGGTTTAACATAAAAGGAATCTGCACACTCCTATATGCACTTTGAGATATTTAACAGGAAGTTATCGCGCGGGTCATGACAATTGAACTCATATCTCATATACCTCAGAAATGAGAGCTCACTTGATATCACTCATATTGCAACGGGGAGTCTCCGCCAACAGGAATGCGAGGGGCACACATGGACCAATAGATCACTCATATCGCAAATCACCAACTCAACAAATCACTCATATCGCAAATTAATTCACTTACTCAATTGGCAATTTAATTCATTTTAAATATATTTGAAAATTGTCTGATTTTGACTTATTCCGAATACACGGTAGGAGGAAAGCTTTGCTTGCCGCCCGCCCACCCAATCGCCAGTCACCATCGCCTACAGCCGCTGGCAAACACCGCCACCATTAACGTACGTACGCCGTTGGTTACCACTATTATCAATCATCACCACTATAACCACTAGCCAACACCGCACATGTTGCCGACAGTATCCTAGCCATCACCAGCCACCACCATTAAGCTTAAAATTAAATTCATTTTACTTCAAATCAAGCATAAAAAAAAAAAAAAATTTTCATTAACTCTACATTCACCCAAATAACTCTAACATTTCAAATACACTGCATTTACTCATACTGTACTCCATCTTACTCATACTGTACTCCATCTTACTCTCTTAAGTATTAGACACTCACAAGTATAAACACGAAAGAAAAACATATGAGAATCAACAATATTACGTAAAATCATTGGAAAGCAGCCCCATTTCGACACTAAACATAACAAAATATTCTATCAGAATATTTTTCTGATCATTACCTAGATTGTCACCAACGAAGAATGACTGATTACTGGACCAAGTGATGTAGAAATCGTTGCTTGCAGGGATGGACCAGATCGAGCCACCGACTAGATGATTATGGGATTGAGAGGAAACCATTTTCATGAATATGACGAGTACTTGGAGCGACGAGATGATCAACCTTGAACGACTGGATCTCCATGAAGAATCTGTTGGCTGCATTTTGCAGGTTTGGAGGGGAAGGGGAAACTTTTGACAGTTATTATTGGAGATAGGCGGTTTCCTTAGAAGGATTCCAAAGCCTCCTTCGGTCACTTGGTTGAGCGGTTCTCTTTAAGCTTTTGGATTGGCTTAGGCAGGGAATCATAAAGGCTTTGTTTGGTTTGAAGGAATTAACGGTTGGACAAGATTTGTCAATAGGAAAAAAAAAATCACATTTTTTTAGTCAAATTCGACACCTATTGTAAAATTTTTAAGTAGTTATTTGGGATTATTTTTAATTTTTTGAAAAAATATTTAGTTTGTATTTTTAATTATTTTTTTACTTTTTTTTTAAATAAAAATCACCCCCTCATTGGCCATTATTGCCACTTGTCATCACTCTCTTATGCCTTATTCGATATCGAGCCCCACATATTTTCTAAATCTTTTTTAATTTTTTTGTCTACACATAACTTTCTTAACATAGGTCATTTCTAATATCTCTATATTCTCTTAAACAGGTTCTTGAAAGGCCGATATTTTATGTGACCAAATCATCCAAGGCCACAGAAAAATATAAAAAACATATTATTGATAGTAAATACTTTTTTTTTCAAACCCAACAAAATTCATGCATTTATAGTAAAAATGATGATAATAATATATATAGGTAGGCAGAAAGTCAACAAACCCCATCTGATATCAAATAAATACTAAAGTTCAGAAACTTCAATCCTTCGATCATTACTAAGGTTTTGTTTGGGCGGCTTTTTTTTTTTGCTTCTTAAAATAACTTTTTAATTAAAAAAATTAATTTTTATACTAAAAAAATATTTTGAGAAGCAATAAAAAATCCGTCCCAAACAAAGCTTAAGTTAACTTCATGCGATCCAGTAAGCTCTTCCCCTCAAGCTTACTTGCGAAGAGCTGCTTCATGTAATCTTGAAAATCCAAGCTCTTGTAGCGTGGCTTTCCTTCATCAGCAAGCTCTGATATTGGTCCTACAATATCACCAAAATTCAAGGTATGGAATGCAGCAACTGATATTCTTTCCTTCTCATTGCTCACAACAGCTCGGTGCTCGATGCTCTTGTATTTCCCATTGCACAGTATCTATTGTTAAAACAGAAACAAATATATATTTCAATTAAACTTCAAGGGCAAGAATAAAGTATTATTAGGCTTCGTTTGGGACGACTTTCTTATTGTTTCTTAAACAGCTTTTTAGTAAACTTTTGTACTAAAAAACTGGTTTAAGAAGTAGTAAAAAAACCGTCCCAAACAAAATCTTAGAGTTTTTCACTGTTTTGTTTTTCAGATCGTTATCATGTTTTTTTTTTTCTTTCTTACTATTTTTTAAAAATTTATACTGTGAGAAACATCTTTTTACTATCAGTAAACTGTGATAACAATAACTTTAAAAAAAAATTATTTTCCGTATAGCGGCTCTGCAATTATTTTTACAAATTATTTTCCGTATAGCGGCTCTGCAATTTCTACTTATGATCTATTTGGGTCAACTTTTTCACAATTTTACTTTTCATACTGATATCAAATTTCTATTTTGTAATTATTTTTTCCAAAATAGCATTGTATCTATTTGTTAATTATTTTCTCTTCTAACTTTAGTAGCTATAAAAAATACTTCTACCATAACTTCTATCAAGAGTTGCAATCACCTCAAAAGAACTCTTAAGCAAGATTACCTCAATGATGTCACCAATATTAACAATAAAAGCTCCAGGAAGAGGTTCAATGGCAAGCCATCCTCCATTTCTTCTAATCTGTAATCCCTTCATTTCATTCACTTGAAGCAGTATTGTCAATCCTGCAACATCAGAGTGTGGAGAAAGCCCTAAGACTTTCTCTGGATTTAAACATGGAGGATAGTAATTCATCCTCAAGGATTGAATCCCATCTTTAAAAATATCAGTAAGATTTTCATGTTCCAGTCCAAGGTTCTTTGACATAACAGTAAGAAGGTAATTTGCAACTCTCTTCACCTCTATTGAATAGTTGGAGAGTGTCTCACTGCAAACTATAAAAAATTACTCTCATATAAAAAAAATGGAGATAGGTGGAATAATAGTATAATTATTACCTGAATGAAGGTGGATTAGAAGGCCATAGTTGCATTAACCTTAGGTGTGGAGGCAGAACAGTGAGAAAAAGCATATCGCCCCAATCTAGTTTTTGCTCTTCTGATTGAACAAAGGCATTTCCATAGCCTTCAACTTCTCCTGGTAATTGTGCTACTTTCTCCTTCTCTTCCAATGGAAGCTGAAAGAATTCTTCCAAGTTTTTCTTTAATTTGTTTATGATTTCCTCAGGTACACCATGATTTATAAGCTGCATTAATGAGCAAATCAAAATGGTAAAGAAGATGAGAGGACAATGACATTTTTTCATGCT